AATAAAATTGCCTTCAATAAAAAATCACATGTTCACAGCAAAAATTTATATCGGTAAAAGTATGATTAATCATTTTTATTTCTATGTTTTTATTTTTGTTTCAATTTTTATAATTTACTATTGGAGTCCGATCTTGTTGACATTTTAATTTTTAAATATGATTATATTTTTTTTTATTTCCCACGCCTCCTCTTTTGGTCGTCATAAGATGATCCAAAATTTAGCAATTTAGCCATTTAGGTCAGGCATGGGCGGGTGGGCTCTCTCTCTCTCTCTCTTTTTAAGTCAATTAGCAGAAAAATTGATTAAAAAGATAAAATTGTTTCCATAATGTAACATATTTGATATCTCGTCTCATTTCTTTATATGCTATTTCTTCATATATTAAAACTTTTTTTTTTTTGCAATGCAATTCTTAAAATTTGAACCACTTTGCAGCTAAATATCATATAGCTGACAACAAGGTAATAATATTCTAAAAACAAAATTAAAAATGATTTATTTTTAGATTATTAAATCAAAAATATATTTTTTTCAGAAATTAAAAAATTAAAGCGAATTTATATAATTTAAAGTTTTTTAAATAAAAAATAAAGTTTTGATAGTCGGGCCCCAATAATTCATCATTATTAGGATATATCTTCAAATTTTAAGTACGTTTAGAGAAATACTCATATATCATCCATCAATAAGATTTGAACTAACAATCTTTTAAATCATATATAAGCCAAATCGTGATTAAGTGGAGCAATATTGGTCAACTAATTTACAGAGCTGCCGAGGAAGGAATGTTCCATTGCAAGCAGCAATGCAAAGTTGCAGTGCCGAGTCAAGCGATAAGTTCGACGTTAAAAATAAGCTCAAATAATTTAACATCAATGGCCTATGCTGAGACCTAAACTGGGCCTGAGAATTAATATACAGTATATGAACCCAAAAAATAGACTACGCTGGGTACACTCTTTCTTTTGGAGGTTCAAAACATTAAAAAAAAAAAAAAATTAGGTTCCAAAATATACAATATTTTTGGAGTAAATTTATTAAGATATGTACGAAATTTATATTATTTTTTATTTAAAATATTCTTAAAAAGACATTTCATTTTTTTAATGAAAATGTATAAATTCAATTTATTCTTCTGCGTTAATAATTATTATATATATTTAAATAAATTTTTAATAATTACTTTGTAAATAATAAATATAAAAATATATGAAAAAATAAAGGTAACGCAAAATTGTATGAGATATAAGGATAGATATTGAAAAAAATATATATATATATATATATATAAATTTCATAGAAGAGATACACCAAAATTGTATATTTTGTCAAATAAGTCCCTTTACTTCAAAACTGTATGTCGTTTTTAGGTACACCGAAAAGTTGAGTTTTGAACGTGGTTTTTTGTTTTTTTGTTTTTAAGTGCGTGCTTTTTGAAATTTAGTGCTGTTTTTTTAAAAGCCCAGTAATAAAAAAAAAAGGCTGAATGTGGGCTCTACAATAACAACAAAGTTTACATTTATTTTTTATTAGTAGAGTCTAAAAATATAAACATAGATGACTCAACAGGATTGATCCATATTCTCAATCCTATTAGCACATTGTTTTGATTCCATTTACACGGAAGGGCATTTTTATAAATTTTGTGTTCATCTTTTTCTGTTCGTCAGAAATGTCATTAGAAGTCGGGGAAGTTAATCAGACGCTAAGCAAGAAATATGAGGAAAAAAAGAGAGTTTATGATATCTTCATTGATGATTGAATGCAAGCAACATATAGGGTCTAGTTAGAGGCAGAATTTTGGTTTTCAGATAATATTAAGAGGTAAAGAGGAAAATTTATTTTCCGTTACGAAGGATTTCATCCAATGAAGCACAGATGAGAGGCAATCATCAGCAAACAAGTGCCTGTTTGTTTTTTGTTTTAAAAACTATTTTTTATTTTTAAAGAGAAAAAAACTTAAAAATTTGTTTGGATAAATTTTTTCATTTAGTTGTTTCCAAAATTATTTTCATTTTTTATTTTTAAAAACAAAAAATAGAAACAACTTTAAGTTATCTTCATTTTATTTTTCTTGTTTTAGAAATACACTAAATTTAATTATTAAAAATTTTAGTTACTTTGAGTAATTTTTATTATTAATCATCATTATGAACTGTTTATAATCATCACCATCAGTATATTTTTTAATTTTAAAACTTTTTTAAATTACATAATCAAATAAATTTTTATTTTATTTTGTTTTAAAAATAATTTTAAAAATTTTATTATAAACAGGTTTTAAAAACAAAAAATAAAAACAGGCCCTAAATCTTTAGTTGTTTGCCAGATGATGATTTGTAGAACTTGAGCATCAATCATTAGAGACGTGTATTTTTGTGAAAATTTTGCTCTTGATTTTATATATAACAGAAAATGTACCATCCATTTAAAGAAAGATTCTGCAAGACCGATTTTGAACGTGCTTGGTGGTATAGAAAAGTCGGAGAGTTTTTCAACCTTTGCAGCTACAAAGAGAGGCAGTTGGCTGCCACGTGCTAGATCACATGTGGCTTCTCTATTTTATTTTTTAATTACGAAAATAAATCAATCAAAGTAGTTTATGGCCAGCGTTGAACCATTCACTTTGAGAATCCACTCTCCTGCTTCATCATGATTCATGATGAGCTCATCAGAAAGAAGGGGCTAAAAATGTAAATTGCCTAGTGAGCCAATATTGGCCCTTGTAATGGGAAACGGTTACAGAAGAAATCAGAATACAATACAAGCTTATGTTAGCAAGAGTGATGATAAGGATGTTTGTTCTATTAAGCATATATGGTTGAGAATTCAATTGTTTTCTTTCGTGTAAGACCTCATAAAGATGCATACTATTTGTTATCTATACACTAAACAAGATTAGTTTTTCCTAACGGCGAGATCTCAAGTGAAGATGTTGGAGTTGTGAGTATAGGTTTTAAGTAAGACTTTTCTAAAAAAAAAATACTCATTCTATTAAAAAATGTAAGATATTTTTAATTGAATCTTATTTTTTAATAAAATAGTTATTTACTTTTAAATTAATCATATCTTTTCATATTTATCCCTATTAAACACCTTATAATAATATAAAGTCATTATCAATAGGGATACTTTTAAAAAAAAGGTAATAATTACACATCGAAAGATTAAAAATGCCTTATATTTTTTAATATTTAATTTTTCAAAAATGCTTTATATTTTTTGAATGGAGAAAGTATCATTTATAAGATGTTATTTTTTTTTTTAAGTAGGCAAGTTAAATGCTAGCTGAATTAGAACGGTAACTTGTAGCATAGAAATGTTCACATTTCATATCCAATATGCCTTGAATAAAATTGACGAAAATCATATTTGACAACCTCTCAAGTTTATTGTGAATAAATATCAAATAATTTTAAATTTTCTTTGTAAGATCAAAAAACATATATTTAATTAAAATTTGTTGTAAAAAGATATAATTACATTGATATATGAGTAAAGGTATAAATTTAGCTACTTACTATTTTTTCAGGAGTATTTAGTAACTTAAATTGTCAGGTGGTGCTAAATAAATTCTCAACTTTTAAAAATGGAACATTTAATGGCCCATCGTTAACTTCATTTAACGAACATTATATGGGGCCCACAAATGACACATGCCATTCCATATTAGCATGTGAAAATGTACAAATTTAGTTACAAATTATTTTTTGAGAAACAATGGGTAGCTTCTATTATAAAAAATGGACCATCCAACACTTTTCTATGAATTTTGCTCAAATACCATTTGTTTTCATACTCATGAGACTCACAATGCGTCAATCTTTTTGATCTTCTTACCTTTGTTTTCAATCTTGACTCAAGAATAAGAGATTCAATGAGTTTTTATCTAAAGACATTCATAAGGACAATGCTAATAAAGTAGAAGCTTAATTTTACGTGTAGGAGAAGCTTGATTCAAGCTTAATTTAGTTCTATATTATTTCTTCTACTTTATTGACGTCGTATTCTTGAATGTCTTCAGACAACAATTCTTTGAATTTCTTCTTTTTAAGTTAAAATTGAAAATGAAGGCAAGAAAATTGGAGAGAATGAGACATCGTGAGTCTCATAAGTTTAAAAATGAACAATGTTTGATCAAAATTAATAAAATTGTGTTAGATGATTTGTTTTTTACAGTAGAGGCTATCCAATATTATTTGAAAAATAATTTGTAACTAAATTTGTACCATCATATGTCATTTGTACGCCTCACATAACATTCGTTGGGTGAGGTTAATGAAAGGCTACGCACTGCTTCATCTTTCAAAGTTAAAGATTTATTTTATATCATTTAATAGTTTAAACTATCAAATATTTTGAAAAAATAATTCATAATAAAATGTATTACTTTACCCCATATAATCATTGCTACTAAAACCTTCGGCAACATCATCTTAACCACTTTAGGTGTCGAAGGGTCGTGTGATAGGATCACACGCATGACATAATCATCTCTCTCTCTCTCTCTCTCACACACACACATTTTAATTATACCTAAGCTCCAACAAGTTTTAATTATATCTCACACACACACACACACACACATTTTAATTACACCTAAGCTCCAACAAGTTTTAATTATATCTAGGCTCTTCAAACTTGCAAAGCAAATTTAGAATTATTTGATCATTTTTCATAATAAATAGGCCCGGAAGATCTTTGGATGTAAGTTTCCCATAAAACAATAAGGACCTGTACGCAATGAGAAATGGAAGGGGTGAACAACTGAACACTGTACCACGAGTTGAGGTTTGTGCCTAAATTAAGACTATAGATGTCTGGTGAGGCGCTAATATGCAAATAAGAACTCGTTAATTTGGACGCGGGAATCATCATAACAGATTTCCCTGGACTGGCAAAGCTAGAAAATCCCCCTCTCTCGAGCATTTCTTCCCTTCCACTCAAAGATGAATGAAAATGGAAGCGAAAGCTCTACCTACTCCAACTCTGATAATCTATCCCTCCTAATCAGTTACCAATTCACTTTCCATCCCTTTCACCGCACAAAAATCTCTAGAAGCCTCTTCATAAAATCACAAATACCCTCCACCCCCAAATTCGTTCTAAATCAGCATTCAAACCGCCCGGAAAAGATCCCGCAAGAAAGGTTCGGACGAAGATGAATTCCAAATGGGTTCTTCTGTTGAGCGTTTCAACGATTTTGGCGATTGTTGTGAACGGCCAGTCGGCGGTGAAGCCGCTGGTGAAGACAGTGAAGGGCAAGAAGTTGTGTGACAAAGGGTGGGAATGCAAGGGATGGTCTCCTTTCTGCTGCAACGAGACGATTTCTGACTACTTCCAGACCTACCAGTTTGAGAACCTCTTCTCGAAGAGAAATTCGCCGGTGGCTCATGCCGTTGGGTTCTGGGACTATCGTTCTTTCATCACTGCTGCAGCATTGTACCAGCCTCTAGGATTTGGTACTACCGGAGGAAAGACCAATGGACAGAAAGAGGTTGCTGCTTTTCTCGGTCATGTTGGTAGCAAAACCTCTTGTAAGTACTAGTGCCTTATTCTTGCGTTTTCTGTTGCGTTCATTTAGATATAATAAAGAGCTTAATGTTTCCACTTCAACTTTTCTGGTAGGTCTGAATCATGTTATAGATCTGCTGCTTCAAGTCCGTTTAAGGAAATAGTTATTACTCCCAATGTTTCTTGATATTTAAAGTGGATGTATCATTATAAAAGTTGTTCAAATAAAATCTGAAGATTTGCATTGCAGCCATCTGGACTGAGATAGTTTTAACGGACTTGTGATGGCCTGATCTTTCCTCGTTCTAGTTAAACCAAGGGTAAAGAAAATATGCAAAAGCATATTGCGGATTGGCAGGTCACTATGTTATAATATGCAAAAGAGCATATCGCTATGGCCTTTTCGATTTTATCAGTTAGTTATATCATATATGAACAGTTCAGAACAATTCAATCATTTGAATAAGTTAGTTATGAGCTGGTAACCGATATGGGGTGTCTAAGATTCATTTAAAACCTTTGGCTGCTCAAGCTTTCGTCCCTGCATCGGAGAAAATTAAAATTAAAACATGATTTCAGGTGGATATGGGGTGGCCACTGGGGGACCTTTTGCCTGGGGTTTATGCTACAACAAGGAGTTGAGTCCTGATAAATACTACTGCGATGACTACTACAAGCTAACCTATCCTTGCACTCCTGGTGCAGCATACTATGGCCGTGGTGCTCTTCCAATCTATTGGTATGCTTGTTCTCAAGTATTATTGTCTTTATTTAACTATTTTCGTCATTGATCATTTCCGATTAAATCTTGTCAAATTCTGCACTAAGTATTTCATGGGATGACACTGCAAAATGATAAACTTTTGCATGGTGATTCCTTGGGAAGAAATTTGCATGCAAAACTTTGGAATTCTTAAAATGCTTTTGTTGGTTTTCCAGCAGAAGGAATAAGCATAATGTACTATGGTTTGTGAAAAGTGGAAACCATTAAGAACCATCCAGTAGGTCCAGCAGTTACGTTTCATTCTAATCTTTTTCCTTTCCATGCTCATAAGTCTTTTAACATACTCCCTCGTCTCTATTATAAGGTACCTTTAACTAATGTATTTTTTTTTTTAACCTTAAATGAGAGGTAGTTAAGTCATTAATTTTGTTTGAAAATAGAATAAATTTTTAATTTTACCCCTATTTAAATGAAAAGCTTTTAAATTTGCATTACTTTCTCTTTTATAGTTAATGAGTTTAAAAAGAGGTAATTTTGAAAAAAGAAATGTAAATAATATCCTATCAAGTTCCTTATATTAAGGATTAAAAAACATTCTAGATGGTGCCTTGTAATAGGGATTTGATGCTTTAGGATTAGCTTTTCTGGTTTTGGAAATACTAGAACAAAGCATAGTTTATTTGACAAATTATGATGGAAGTTGTGGTATTTTCTTTGATGGCACTTTGACATCATCAGGAACTACAACTATGGAAAAACTGGGGAAGCTTTGAAGGTGGATCTGTTGAACCATCCAGAATACATAGAGCAAAACGCTACCTTGGCCTTTCAGGCTGCAATATGGAGATGGATGACCCCTCCTGACAAGCACGTACCTTCAGCCCATGATGTCTTTGTTGGTAACTGGAAACCCACCAAGAATGACACTCTCTACAAGCGAGTTCCTGGGTTTGGTGCTACCATTAATGTGCTGTATGGAGATCTTGTGTGTGGCCAGGGATCTGACAATGAATCTATGAACAACATCATTTCCCACTACCTGTATTACCTTGATCTTATGGGTATCGGCCGAGAAGAGGCCGGACCTAATGAGGTTCTCAGCTGTGCCGAGCAAGCTGCGTTTAAGCCAACTTCTGGTTCATCATCATCATCAACTTGAGCTTTTTTACTTCATTGTGGTTGGCCTGTCTATTCTTGTATCCTCTTTGAAATGGTGAGAAAACTAATAAGCGAGGACAAGTAGAGAAGATTTCAACTACTTTTGGCTTTCACATGAAAGTAAAACTACTCCGGACACAAATTAATCTGCTGCTATATATATATGTATCTTGGCTTGTGTTTTCTTTTTCCCCTGTATAATTTGAATATTTGATATTGTATGAACAATTTTGTTGATATGCATGTATATTGTGAACTGTACTAATCAAAATGGTTCAAGGTTCCTTCCAAATAATCTTTACCTCAGGGCTTGAGAACTAGGTGGATTGATGGATATGCTTGAGCCGACGTAATAAATCTGAGCTTAAATTTAGCATTTGAGTAAATAAAGTTTTAACTTATCTGAGGGTTTGGATAATTGGATATAGCCATGTAGGTTCATGTAGTTATTTACTGAGAAAGGCGAGAGAGTAGAATGCTGTACAAACGATGTTGATGGCTGTACGGCTACAGGCAATTCTAGCCCTACGATTGAGGTTTGAATTTTGATTTTAGTAGAGCTTAATTGACGACAATGTATTTCAATTAAATTTTTATGTTATTTATTTTTTTATTCTTTTATTTTTATTTCATATTTGTTCCATTTGAGTCTTGTCTCTGTTTGCGACTTGCGACCATTAAAACATGACCCAACTCGGTAGTCTATTTTTTTTTTCGGTTAATATGATTAATAATTTTATGGTTGTGTTTTTTATTAAATATTTTATGTAATAGATTAATTTTAAACTTTGACCTTGATTATAGAATTTTGACCTTGATTGTCTCAAAAAACTCAACTTAAACTTTTTATTATAAAAAAGGAATTATTTTCCTTTTACTTTTAGGAATTCTTTTGCCGGATATTTTCACATAAATTTAAATCTCCTAACAACCTTGTGGTGTGATTTTATTTTATTTTTTAATGAAACGTTTAGAGTGCGGAAAAACAAAATTAAATTTTATAATCTAATATGTAGTATGCCAACATTTTCATACGTCCGTCGTGAGAAACACTTATATCACTATAGCTCGTTTCATGGATCCATATTAAGGAAAGGACTGGTAGATGGTAATGATGACTAAACAATAAAACTACGAAACAATTCCAAAAAAACGATTTGTTAATTTGTTATCGTTTTAATTGAAATTCTGATATACATATATATATATATATATGTATGTATGTATGTATGTATGTATGTATAACCACAAAACGAAAAGAAAAACAAACAAGCCAAAATGAGTGGTTCATTGAATCGGAGAACTCAGAGGCACTCGTCCGTCCGTCTTGAGTTATCGTAATCTCAATTTCACCTCTCAACCAAAACAACATAATATTAGTATTCTGAGTTTCTCGCCTTCTCTAAAGAGAGCTTGAGAGCAGTGAAGATGGAGGGTCGAGACATGGACGATTTGCCCAAGAATGCAGCCAACTACACTGCTTTGACGCCCTTGTGGTTTCTGGAAAGAGCAGCTCTGGTACATCCCACCAGAACGTCCGTCGTCCATGGCTCACGACGATACACCTGGCTTCAGACCTACCAGCGATGCCGTCGACTCGCCTCTGCGCTCTCTGCACATTCCATTGGTCTTGGCAGCACAGTAATTTTTCTTCTACTGCTCCTCTGGTTCCTGAGAAAATGACTAGCATGACAGGAAACCCAGAGAAAATTTTAGTGCTCTGTTTTGCGATGATTTTCAAAAGCTTTGAAACAGTAGTTTCAAATAAATTGATTATTGGGGTTGGTGGTGAAATATGTGATTTTATTACTCTGTTTTTAGATGACATAGAATGCCACTGAGCTGAACGAACCTGTCAATGTGATTGAATTTCTCGTAAAATGGGATGTGGAAAAGAAAACGAAGCGGAAATGCTATTACTCTGTATTTTGATGATATGATTATGAATAAGCCGATGAATGAAATAGTCTTTCTATATATTTAGCTATATTGACGACTTTCATAGTTGACATATTTAAAAAAGAATCCTCATTTTCTCATTACTTGGTATCTGCAATAAGAGAAACTGAACAGGGAAGATTGTAATCAGCAAAAAACCAAGTATTATGTTGAAAGTTCACGACTTTAGAAATACAGAGCATTCATCATGTTGCTCAACGAACTTGAAAATTCAGAAGAGATATGTTGTATTAGGGTTAATTAGTCCATGTCTCTAAAGTAGATTTCAAACACTTGTAACAGGTGGCAGTGATAGCACCCAACGTGCCAGCATTATACGAAGCACATTTCGGAATCCCAATGGCAGGATCAGTGTTGAACCCAGTGAATATCCGACTAAACGCATCAACCATAGCTTTCCTTCTCAGCCATTCTTCATCGTCTGCAATAATGGTGGATCAAGAGTTCTTCCCTCTGGCAGAGGAAGCCCTGAGAATCTGGTCAGAGAAAAGCAGCTTCAAGCCTCCGCTTTTAATAGTGATCGGAGACGACGAGAACCGCGATGCAAAGGAGCTGAGGTACGCAGTGGAGAAAGGAGCGATAGAGTACGAGAGGTTTCTGGAGAATGGGGACGCAGAGTATGCATGGAAGGGTCCAGAAGACGAGTGGCAGAGCATAGCTCTGAACTATACGTCGGGGACGACGGCGAGCCCCAAGGGCGTGGTGCTGCATCACAGAGGCGCTTATCTGATGGCTCTGAGCGGAGCTCTGATATGGGGAATGAATGAGGGAGCCGTGTATCTGTGGACACTTCCTATGTTTCATTGTAATGGTTGGTCTTACACCTGGACACTTGCTGCTCTTTGTGGCACCAACATTTGCCTTCGACAGGTACTACATAGTTCTTCGCTTCGGAATCAACTATGTTAAGTTGTCTGACCGCCTAAAAATCGAATGCATATTTACAGGTGACAGCAAAGGCAGTGTACGCAGCGATTGCGGAGCAAAAAGTGACTCATTTCTGTGCAGCGCCAATAGTGCTGAACTCCATTGTTAACGCCCCATCAGACCACACAATCCTTCCTCTCCCTCACGTCGTCCACGTCAACACTGCCGGCGCCGCTCCTCCACCCTCCGTCCTCCGCGCCATGTCCGAACGTGGCTTCCGAGTCACCCACACCTACGGCCTCTCCGAGACCTTTGGCCCGTCCACCTTCTGCGCCTGGAAACCCGAGTGGGATTCCCTCCCGCCGGAAGCCCGAGCCAGGCTCAACGCCCGGCAAGGCGTTCGCTACGTCGGCCTGGAAGGCCTTGACGTCGTCGACCCCAAGACCATGAACCCCGTCCCTCCCGACGGCTCCACATTAGGCGAGGTCGTGATGAGAGGAAACGTGGTGATGAAAGGGTACTTGAAGAACCCCAAGGCAAATGAAGAAGCTTTTGCGAAAGGGTGGTTTCATTCTGGCGACATCGCCGTGAAACACCCGGATGGGTATATAGAGATTAAGGATAGGTCCAAGGATATTATTATTTCTGGTGGTGAAAACATCAGTAGTGTCGAGGTTGAGAATGTTCTGTATTCTCACCCCGCGATTCTGGAAGCTTCGGTGGTTGCGAGGCCTGATGAGAAATGGGGGGAGTCTCCATGTGCGTTTGTGACCCTGAAACCAGGAGTGAATCATGAGGAGGACAGTGATGAGAAGAAGCGTCCCCTCGTTGAAGATATAATCAAGTTTTGCAGGTCCAATATGCCTGCTTATTGGATCCCTAAATCTGTAGTGTTTGGGCCCTTGCCCAAGACTGCTACGGGAAAGATTCAGAAACATCTGCTTAGGGCCAAGGCCAAAGAAATGGGCCCAGTCCAGATTAGCAAGTTGTAGGCTTGTAGCTCAAGTGACTGTAGCATGCGAAGCATGTATTTATTTACAATCTGTACAGTAGTATGAGGACAAGCTTGGTAGTTGGTATATATATACACTACTTACGCTTAGATTTTTGTTGGAGGGTGGAGGGAGGGGATGAGAGGTGGGTCTCACCTCTGTGGAACCCGCATGAATAGATGTAAGGGCAATGCCAAGCCACATCAGAGTTGGTTTCCTCCATTACTGCAGTGGAGGAAACATGCAAATCTGGACTGTTAAAAGGTTAAAAGATTTAGATTTGATGGTTTTTAAAAAATACATATTAATTTGTATCGTTAAAATTTAATCTGAATAGTTTAAATTTGTAGTGGAGATGGGGTTGTGAGAAACCGAGTCCATACCTTGTTTAGACGTCTTTCTTATACTTCAACAACACTACACCCCAGAAAATTATGATCATCGATAAAGTGTGTATTACTGCTGAAGTGAATAAATTAGATGAAGATAGGATATGTTTCAATGTAGACATAGCGTCTTGGGAACAACCTTGGTTTCTTGCCCTCCGTGATTTTTATTTTCTTTGTTCATTGAATATTAGTGGAAATGTGGCCCTAATAAGAAAAGTTTGTGAGTTGGTTTGGGTAGAGGTAATTCTGGGTCCTACTACTGTTAGTTTAATTATGCATATAATATAATATAATAGAGTTTCCAAAAGTTCATTCAGGATACAAAATCAATTGCTTAGTACTTATCTCTTGCCACAGAAGTTTGGACCTTTGCTTGCTTGCTTGTAGTTCTTGAACTTTAAAAGTTAAAGATGCAGATGTTGGTGATTTGCACGTCAAAAGCAATATTGTATAATGTCGACAGAAGCAAATATCTGATCTCAAAAGATTAAGATTTGCGTTGTGACAGTTCTAATACGATATTAAGTACCAGCAACGGTAATGAAATGAATATGAATTACTGATTTTTTTTTTAAATTATGTTGTTTCTTCTATATTGAATCTAATTAAAAAAAAAAAGAACATTTACTTAGCTCAAGAAACTCATGTAAGTTTAATACCATGTATGTCGAGAACATGTGTGTGTGGGGGGGGGGTGGGTGGGTGTTCCATTTTTGAAAATGAATAAACACGTTTTAATATATCAATTCCAAGGATAAGGAGAAAAAAAGGGCAAATACCATTATTAAGCTGTGATATGACCAATGACGTGTAAGAATTAGAATCTCAGAAAGAAAATTAATCAAAGAACGACCTGTCTAATGCACGAGGTTGTTGCTTATGTTGAAAGTAACTGCCTGAGTTTCAACATCAGTGCATAACTAATTCCTTGTTATTCAAAGAAGTTGTCTGCAACATCATTGTCTCTCCAACTCAAGGACCCCACCAAGTCTCCTAAGCATTAATTAGAAGCAAAGTTGGATGATTTTGCTTTGATAAAAGCAAGCTACCAAAATGTGTATGGATATAATATATAGAGGATGAAGAATAAAGGTTAAAATGAGAATGTGAACTGGAAGGGGGGGGGGTTGCAGCAGCAAAGCAGATCAGATTCTCTTTATAGGTCACTGTCGTTTTAAGGATAAGAATGCGATATGATGGAGCAATGAGCAACATGCGTGTATGTAATTTCTTAACTGGAACAAGGTTCTATCAGGTGGTTATTCCCATCTATCGTCTGATATAATATGGTCAAGTGGCCGGGCATCTAAATCTACTCAAACCTGTTGATTTGAAATCCTGGTTTGATCCATATGCGTGTGTATGTGTTTGAGTCCAATCCAAATACTTGTTAGTCGTTTGTCAAAATTCTCAAGGAATTTGTACTTTTGTGGGTCCGTCTTATTTATTGGATTTGTTCGCCATTTCGTTGCCTTTATCTCAGCCACCTCATCAAAAAAAAAAAAAAATATATATATATATATATATGTATATATTACTCACACTCATGCGCGCATTAAATTTGGCCATATTGATATTGTTATAGGGATAACTTGATATAATAAGCCACACACTCCATATATGTGTGCCAGTGTGTGGGCGCATCAATATGAATTTTCCTGCCCAAAAAAAAAAAAAAAGAAAAATCCGCTGGAGCAGGTGGCAACATTCAGATACTTTAAATTGAAAGTAATTCAAGTTAAATAAGTTTCCTACGTCGTTCATATTAACTGAAAAATTTAAATTCTCTAAAATTGTTATTGGTATATTAGGTGAAATTTGCCTTTTTTTAAAAAAAGTATTTTCACTTATTTTAGTATTTTTTATAAAATATAAAATCTTTTCTCTTTTTTTAAAATGGAAAACTTCACCAATCACAATTTCAAAATATTTAAACCCTCAACTAAATACATTATTTTAAAAGTTCTCAATTTCCTTACAATTAACATTAAGGGTAATAGAAAATTATTATAAATAATATAAATTGACACTTTATAAAAAGAATTACAAAACTTTTCCCTCAAGCACGTGGGGGGGAAGGAGTATGTGTATAAGAAGAGAGTCATAAATTAATTTTTGAGGGAATAATTGAAAAGTAAGTATATTCTTGCTAAATATTATAAGAATTATAATATTTTTTTAACTGAATTTCATGTTATTTTAAAATTTTATTTATAATTTTCTTTAAAATTTAACATTTTTTCATATTTAGATATCTCAAATTACAGATTCTAACTAAGAGTATTTTTGAAAACACACCTTGTTAATTACGCATTGAATAAAAATTTAAAATGTCTTATATATGATACTTTAAAAAATATCTTATAATTTGAATAGAGAATCCTTAAATGAAAAACATGAGTAATAAATTGACGGATATATATCCAATGACATTACAATATTCCAAGGTGTTAGTTGAGAGTCGCGGTTGGTGACACGTCAGATTCACTGAATCTATTACATGCAGTTGCTGTAAATTCTGTCAAACGATATATGTAAGGTCCTACCCCAGTACTTATCACAAACAATTTTGACTAATGACTTTCATTTCATAAGCACTCACAAATAAATTAAATAAGCTAATTATTATATATATATATATATTGCCATTATTATGGGTTATGCCATCAAATATATGGACTGAAAAATGAAAATTACATAAAACAATACTTCTACATTTATACATCATTGTGAAACATAAAATTTATATAAGGCAAATTATGCGAGTGTCATGGCACGCACACAAATGATAAAATTAGTAATTTGACTTATTCAATTTACCCGAATCATTCAGTTGGTTCTTGCAAGTTTTAAATGTTTTATACAAGTCCTTATAATTTAATACTCATACATACATACATACATATTTATATTGATTTTTGTATATGTTCATCTTTTACAGATATTCCAAAGATATTTGGGAATTATATATATATATATATATATATTGGATATGAACATTGAAGATGCTGCGATCAAACAACTCCAAAGTGAAAAAAATTGCATATTCTCATATCCAATTGATCGGCATCTGTCCCTTTCTATTGAAATATATATTGATGAGGAGATCGAAGACATCAATGCAACATGTAGATGTGTGCAGATGTGTGCATGATGGCTCCACACAACAAATTTAAAGTTATATATGGAATGTTTTATCAAAGGCATAAGCTGAGAACGTTGGTAATTTGTATCTTTTACAATCATAAAAATAATATTACATATATATTTGAAGCAAAATAGCTAGCTGGAACAAGAACTAAAGATAATAAAACATGTTTGTAACATAAACAAATGAATTTCATTGACAGATCTATCTGTATCATTAGCTAAATATTTATAATTCGACAAGTAGTGTCACAAAAAAAAAAAAAAACTTAATTTATTTGCACCTTAAAAATTAGATCTAATTTCTTATCATAAATTCATGATACTAATATATTGTATGGCGTATAAGCTTGAAATTGAATCTTGTCTCCGAAAATGTGTTTGGTGACATTTTCTTTAATTTTTATCCAAATTTGTCTTCATTTAACAGTCAGTCTTTGTGATCGGTGCTTAATTGGAGATAGAAAAGTAAAAGTTGGCAGGAAAAAAAAAAAAAGAAATAGAAAAGCTCAAGTGTGGCCGTTAATTTAGAGAACTGAAAATATATTTCACAACTGGAAGGAAAAAGACAGGTCATCAAAATAATGCATATATAATGCTTCTATATATTAACAAGGCTTTCATATATTTTTTAAAAATATTTTTTTCTCTCACATTTTTTATTTTTATCATTGTTAAATTAATGCAAGGTCCTATCTTCTGTTTTATTAATTAATTATTGCACGGCTAAATGGTCAAATTCATATATATAATTCTAAAGGGTCCAGTGAGATGATGTATCAAATCGTCCAAATTGTTAATTATTTTCATGTTTATAATATGTCCAAGCAACGACCCGGCTTGAGAGTGTCTTGTCCTAAAAACAATAAAACTTTCATCGGTCATTTAAATTTAATATAAATAAAGAGCTTTTATAGATATAATCCATATTATAAGATCAAATAAAAGAAATAGCCTATCATTTTTTAAATTTTAAAAATAACCTTTTTAATATTTAGATTATAATTAATTCACAAAATTGTCATTTTTAATATCTACTTTTTTCAAATATTAGGAGATTTAAAATGCAAGAAATCTCTAAAACAAGATAGACAAATGTGAGACAGAAGATGAAACTCGACGCGAGAGAGACGAATGCAAGATAATAGAGTAGTATGAGTGAGTCATAATCACAATGGCAAGAGACAAATACGAGGTGAGATACATCGATGGTACTCGATGGAATAGAGCATGCCAACGGAAAAACAAAGCTACAGATTCATGAATTTTTTATTTTATTAGTTTTGATATTTGATTCTTTATGATAAGCTAAGAATTTAAAATTTTTTGTTGACTATGTTTGATTTGTTTTGAGCAAATGATTATGTGTTTTCGTGTCACGGATTTGTGATACTACATCAATGATATATGACTGTATATCAATTATAAATAAGTTTATGTCTGATTGTCTGATTATATTAATTTACGATAATATATCAGTGATCTACAATAGTAAATCACTGACATATAAGCCATGTTAGCAAAAACTTATCAATTTATTTATCATTGATCCCGTATATTAATAATGTAGTATT